GAATGGCCTGGTCCCGCGAAGTGCTACGTCGCCCGGCTGCCCGACACGCCCTCCAGCGACGTTGCACTTCTATTTCCGAGAGTTGTCTGGCGTCACTTCCTAGAGGCTCCCTTGTCCCCTAAACCCTTAGTGGAGTTTACAAAGTCTGAGCTCAGGTGGACCTTGCTGAGTTTGCAGAAAGATTTACTGCTGGGTGGAGAGGGACTGTGTCTGTTGTGCAGAGATAGGATAAAGAGGCCTTTGGCTCGTAGCTATCAGGTTGCAAGGGAATGTTAGTTCAGAGGGGAAGTGGCCAACCCCATACCTAAGGCCAGGTTTGACTTGATTATCTGATGTTCCAACTTAGTCGTAAAACTTGAGTTGTGTTAGCCAGAGGGGATGTTTTGCAACAAGCAAATGCTGAGTAGCCCTGTTCTTTTACCTCGAAGTAAGACATTTGAAGAAATTCGTCAGACATACTGAAAAGAGTGGTGGTGCCTTAAAAGATTACATTTTTTTTTTTTCGTTTTTAAATAGTGTTGCTACCTCCCTAATGCAAATTCGCAGGCATTTTTGGTCAGTGCCTCACTTCCTTGTTGAAATATTTTGATTTGTTTTTTATTGTGTTAGACCTACTTCATGGTAAATGTGGAGACAGAACTTTTTTTTTTTTAAACGTGTTTTCTAAAAAAGTGTTTGCAAAACTTTAGTCATATCGCAGTTTGAAGAAAAAGGTTGGCTATGTTGGTTTTCACTTTTAATAAAACTTTTTTGAAGGACTTTCGGTATGCTAATTTTTGTGTGATGATTTCACTTCCTTCTTAACTTTCAAGATGCTTCTGGATTGTAAACTTCTAGACTGAATGAGTGTACTTACTAAAGGATGTCGGTATGACTTGTTACTTTCAGTGACACAAATTAGTTTCTTATTACGGGGGACTACTGCTTTGCCACATCCGGATGCACTTATTGCCCCCTAAATTTTGGGCAGATTTTCTTTTATGAAAACGAGATAGATACTGACCTAAACTAAGTTTCTAGGTCTTTTACACAGAGAATATTTGAGAACGATATGAATTACAGTATCAATAGAACTAAATTATTTAAACCATTGTAAGTGCTTATTTTTAAAAATGTGTTTAGGTTTATAAAAACTTTTCTCTGATTATGACTTGTAATCTGCAGCTTGTAGCACTTACATTAATAAAGATACAGGTGTACAGGGGAGGTGTTTTGGTGTTAAAGAGCTCAGTGAAAACAGTCCTGCTTACTGATTGTGAAAATTAAGAGGAAGTATAACGTGCTTCCCTCCCATCCTGCAAGGACACATGTCAGCAAGGCATGTATCTCCAAGGGAGGTCATTGTCAGTAGCTCACAAAGGAAGAAATGGAGGAATAGGGACCTCGAGTCACTTGTCTATGGTTCTAGGTGTAGCAACCCCAAGGACAGTTTTTCTTGACTACACAGTGTTATATCCTATTGACATTCCTAAATGTTGTCTGAGAGCCAGTTGTTTAACAAGTGCCATCCAGGGCACTCCTCTCTCTGTATGATTTTTAGGTAGGCTACTTGTTTCCTCATGGTAAGGTAGTCATATTTATAGTCACTAGTAGGGTTGAAATGAGACTTCGTTACTTTAGGTAAAGCTCTGTATGTACATGTCCATATGAAAGTTCAAAAGATGGTAGATACTATTTTATAAGCACTGAAACGTAGCCTTTTAAAGATTTGGTTGACAAGTATTTCAAAAAGAAAGGGTCCTAATATAGTATAGATGTTTTCTGACTTATTTACCAAGATGTCTTAGAACAGGTCAAGAGATACCTTTAAATCTCCTTTTTACAAGTGAAAATATTGAAACTTAGAGAAAGTAAGTGGTATGTTCAGGGTCCTTAGGTAGTTATGTACTTGCCTTAACTAGCTTGGGTGTTCTGAATTCAGAATCTGAGCATTGTGTATTCTATTACACAGTCTTAGTTACTGTTCTGCTATTGTGAAACACCATGTCCAAAGTGACTTATAGACAATATTGAATTGTTATTAGCGTGCTTACAGTTTCAGGGTTAGTCCTTGATATTTTGACAAGGAGCATTGGCAGCAGGCATGCTGGCATGGCTCTGTAGCAGTAGTTCAGAGCTCAAGTCTGATCCTCCAAATAGAGGCAGAGAGACAGAGACACTGAGACTGGGCCTAGTGTGGGCTTTTGAAACTTCAAAGCCCACCCCCAATGACATACCTCTAACAAGGCCACACTTTCCCAACATAGCCACACCCTAACTCTGTTCAACTAAGTGAGGACCAGACATTAAACATTGGATCTTTTGGGGGCATTATCATTCATACCACCACAAATACCTGTGCCCATCTGAAACTCTACCTGGGCTTCCAACGGTATTTTTTTTCTTGTTTGAGAATTTCTTACATGCATATAGGGTCTTTTGATTAAACCTACTTTCCATTTCTTCCCCTCCAGTTCCTTCTCACCACTGTTCTCTTCCATTTTAATATCTTAAAAACAAACAAACAAACAAACTCACTTAGGCCACTTAATGCTGCCTGTATGTGTATGGGTGTAAGGCCATCTACTGGAGCATGGGTAGCCTCTCAGGAGCCACACCCCTGATGAAAGTGACTTTCTCCTATCAGCCATCAATTATTAGTAGCTCCTCAGCTAGGGAAGTGACTTCATGATTGCCTCCCTGCCCCATGCTAGGATTTTGTCTGGCTTTATCATGTTCATGCAGTCACAGTGGCTATGAGTTCATATGTGCAACCATCATGTTGTGTTCAGAAAATCACTGTTTTGCTGTATACTTCCTCTGGCTCTTAAATTATTTTATCTAGTCATCCACAATGCTCCCTGAGCCTTGGGAAGATGATCCAGAAACCTCATTTGGAAGTGAACATTCCACAGTCTCTTAAATGCTGCATGCTGACCTGCCCCGTGGCTCTCTGTGTTCATCACTATCTACTACTAAAAGATGCTGTGATGAAGGTTGAGAGATGCAGTGATCTATGGATATAATGAGAAGTCCTTAGAAGTCGGTTAAATGTTATTCTCATTTAGCAGAATAATAGTAGTAGATTCTCTGCTAGGGCCTATGACCTACCCAACCATTAATTGGCCCCATTAGTGGTGCCACATATGAGCTCCGTCTTATGAAACAAGCAATAAGTCCAATCAGAAAGTGTTTACTCCATAACATGTGTGCCACTATTACAACAGTGAACATATCTTGTCAGACTGGTTGTTGTAGTTCACAAAGTTCAGATGGGTAAGATTGTTGATTTAACTGTTAGTTAAAGCTGTTTTTAACATGTGAGACATTGTTTTTTTGTTTGTTTGCTTGTTTTTCCGCTTTCTTTTGTTTGGGATATATTAAGGGAGTAGGTGATTAGATTAGTTAAAAAATATAATTATACTCTTAATTATTGATGGATATAAGGCCAGTGAACCGTTGTTCAGGACTCAATGTTGACTGGCTAAAATCTTTGTGGTGGGACAGTCATTGGGGTTGAACCATTGCCAGTAGCTAAGCTGGCTAGCTATGCTTTGCCAGCTCAGTTTCTCTTCAGCATTTCATATGTATGTCATGTATAAGACAAAGTTTGATTTGTAATTTGTTTGTGCATTATTTACTACTGTGATAAGACATCATGACCAATACAACTTGTAAAAGAAGAGGTTTATTTGAGGTGATAGTTTCAGAGGGTTAGAGTCTATTATCATGGCAGAGCAAAAGCATGGTGGGAAGAATAGCTGAGAGCTAGCTCACATCTTTATCTGCAAGTAGGAGGCAGAGAGAGACAGTGGGAGTGGCTAGAGTCTTTTGAAACTTATAAACTGGTTCCCAGTTACATGTCTTTTCTGAGGCACACCTCATAATCTTTCCCAAAATGGGTCCACCAACTGGGGACCAATTATTAAAAAAATACAAATATGTGGGCCATTCCCATTCAAACCAGTATAGCTTGCTATGTTTGTTTCTGATTCCCTTACTTTTTTTTTTTTTTTTTTTAATTAGCCCATCACCGAAGCCAGGAGCCTTGCCATTTTAGGATTTGGTGAAATGTCCACTTCAAGCACAAAATGCTCTCTAATATCTAACCCACCCTGATGTGGAACATGCAAGAGTGGGGTGGGTTTTAGAGCTTTGGAAGAACAAAATTAATGAGTTGACTATTTTGCTATATATTGTGCTTTTAGTTTTAACATTTTTTAAAAAGACTTATTTATTACCTATGAAGTATTCTGCGGGCCAGAAGAGGGTACCAGATCTCATTACAGGTGGTTGTGAGCCACCATGTGGTTGCTGGGAATTGAACTCAGGACCTCTGGAAGAGCAGTCAGTGCTCTTAACTACTGAGCCATCTCACCAGTCCTAGTTTTAGCATTTTAAACTACTGAAGGCATTGGTTCCTTTTTCTTGGTGCCATTTAAATGCCAAAGACTTTTATTCTTTTCTTTTAGTTTCAAACTAAGATTTTTGAAGTAGGTGGGTTTTTTGTTTGTTTGTTTGTTTGTTTTGTTTTTGTGGGAGTGTGTTCAATTAAAAACTGTATAGGTTTGCAGAAACAGACCTGGAGTTAGAATTAGAATTCAAGTAGTTCATTGCTCTCATCAGAATAGTCAGTGTCAGAAAGCCAGTTCCATGTAAGACTTCTGACTTTGATTGGGGTTTCAGGTGGGTATGGAAATAACATATCTAGACTCTTCGATATTTGTATCTAATATACTGGTTTCCACTGTACACACAGTGCACTTGTGCCTCACTCTAAAGAGTCTTGTAACTGTTTTGTTTGTTTGTTTTTTGTTTTTTGTTTTTGTTTTTGTTCCCAAAGAATAGATAGCAAGGAAAGGTTTTCACCCTACAAAGGAAAGGTTTACATACTATGTATTAGGGAAGGAAGATTTTCCTTTTTTTTTGTCTTTAACATTTTATATAGTTTTACTAGTTGTATTGAATCTCATCATCATTTTATACTTTGAGATTTCAGATCACACTTTCTGTGCATGGTGATTATAAACTAATTTGTATGTTTTCATGGCTGCATTTTTGTCTTTGTAAACCATCTAGAGTTTATATTAATATAGGTATAAAGTGTCAAAAATTATTTTTTCCAGATAGCTTTTCAGTTTTTCTGATACTCTTAGTTTAATTATTTCCCCCAATGACAAGAGGCCATTCAGGTGAGCAGACACATTGTCTGCCATGAAGTAAACCAGAGTAATGGGTTGTTTTGGTAATGGTTATGATGTAGTTTTTGGGGGTGGCCCGTTGGAAGACATTCTCTTGAAGATAATAGATGTGAAAGTGTTTGTAGCTTCTGGGGATGTAGCTTATAGAGTTTAAAGGTAGAGGAGGCAGTGAAAGAGACCAACATAGAAAGGTTAATAGCCTTTTTTTTTTTTTTAATGAATGAAAGGCATTTAGATGTGGAGCTATTTACATTGTAAAGTACTTCAAGAGAGTTAGATTTGTAATTTCGCTTTTCCTTTGTTTTCTTACAGGTCACCCTCGCAATTATGGATATTTGAAAGGCTCAGACGGTGTGGAGGGGGAGTTCCCCTCCTCACTCCCCCTTGGTGCTTGACTCTAGGAATAATTTCTAAACTGGGATTTTTTTTTAAATGAAGAACTTGTATTTGATATGAACTTTATAGAACTATTTATAACTTTTTGATTGAAGTGCCAAAAGATTATACAAAGATATATAGTTTTATATAATTGTTGTGACTATTTAAATACCCCAAAGGGTCATATCTTCTTGGTAATTCTTCTGAATATTATCTTTGGGTCCTATCTTTTTCATTTTTAAAATTCACTTCAGTGACTCTTCTGAAGGAGTAAGCAATACAAAAGCAATTATGATGGATTCTGCCACCCCTGACTGCACATCAAAATGCCGATCGCTGAAGCATGCTTTGGATGTCCTTTCTGTGGTAACAAAGGGGAGTGAGAACCAGATCAAGGCCTTCCTCTCCAGTCACTGTCACAATGCTGCAACTGTCAAGGATGCCTTTGGTAGGAATGCCCTGCACCTGGTCTCCTCCTGTGGGAAGAAAGGAGTGTTAGATTGGCTTATTGAGAAAGGAGTGGATTTGCTGGTGAAAGACAAGGAGTCAGGCTGGACAGCATTGCACAGGAGCATTTTTTATGGACATATTGATTGCACTTGGTCTCTGTTGAAGGTAAGTGTCAGTTTATCTAAAACTGACATTCACTTTTCTTTTCTTTTTCCTTTTTATTGAAAATGTACTCTCTCTCTCTACACACACACAAACTTTTTTTTTCTTTTCCTCCTACCTCCTCCCCATCTCCACTTCCATCCAGATCCACTTCCTTTCTGTCTCTGATTAGAAAGTAAACAAGCCACACCTTTAATCTAGGTTAATGCCTTTATTACCAGCACTTGGGAGACAAAAGCACCTAGGCAGATCTCTGAGTTTGAGGCCAACCTGGTCTACATTGTGAGTTCTAGGATAGCCAAAGCTATACAGTGAGGCCCTGCCTTGAAAAAAATACCAAAAAAGAAGGAAGGAAGGAAGAAAGAAAGAAAGCAAGCAGGCTTTTCTAGGATAATAATAAAATGAAGTATAATAAGATAAAACAAAAACTAACACATTGCAATTGAACAGAACAAATTGAAGGAAAAGAGCCCAAGAAAAGGCACAAGAAACAGAGAACTACTGGTTTCCACACTCAGGAGTCCCATAAAAAATTGCTAAACTGTAATCCATATTATATACATAAAGGACCTGTAGAGTAAAAAGATAGAAAAAATATAAGATAAATAAAAGTAAAGAATAGGTAAAATTTAAAAAAAAAATGTTTGGATATAACATTATAAGACAAAGAATCTCCAGTGTTGCCATTGAGTTTATTTTCTTTTGGCTATCTGCTGGACGCATAGCCTGCACTTAGGAGTAGTTTCTTTCCCCAGTGAGACTCCCTTGGAGAAAACTAAATTTGCAGGTGGTTGTCAATTGGAGTATAGCTTCTGGGTTAGGGGTGGGGGCATGTGTCTACTCCTCCTTTCAGCTCTGGACCCCCTCTGGTATTGAGTGTTGCAGGCTCAGTGCACGTTGCCCCAGTCTTTGTGAGTTCAGATGTATTTCAGTCCTGTTGTCTAGAAGGTCATGGTTCCTTGGTGTCCTCTGTCTTCTCTGGCTCTGACATTCTTTTCACCTCCTCTTCCACAGGATTTCCTGAACCCCGAGGGGAGGGATTTGATGGATCTATCCCATTTAGGGCTGAGTGTTCCAAGACCTCTCACTCTCTGCATATTGTCTGGCTGTGGGTCTTTGTATTTATTTCTATCTACTGCAGGAGGAAACTTCTCTAATGATGGCAGAGCAAGGCACACTGATCTGCTTCTGTAGCTGGAGTTTAGGCATGTGATTTTCTTAATCTATTTCATGTTGCATTTTCTAAGAGAAGTTTATATGTGTTTGATACTGTTACTGTTATAACTCATCTTTAGATTTAAAGTACCATAGATCTTATTTACTTATATGTTTTATGTAAAATTTCAAATATACATCAAAGCTCCCAACATATAATAATGAGCTGTTGTGCAATTTTATGTTGTGTGCACAGTATGTTATGTGCGCTGTATGTTAGTGTCAGAAGAAACCTTGGAAAGAATTTGTTTGAAAAAAGAATGATTCATGAATTGGACAGCACCTGATACCAGAGAGGTTCAGTGTGGAGATGTAGCTTAGGGGCAGAATACTGCCCAGGATTCTCAAGACTCAGGTTTCCACCTCTAGTACCCTATTTATACCTCTCCCCCAGAGGCTTGGAGAGCTGTTTTGGTGCATGTGCAGAGTGGAGACCTCATTAGAGGTTAATTGGTGCTGGTGACTGGTCAGGTCTTCAGTTTTTCTCTGTTTATGTTGGGCTTCTGCTTGCTTACAATGAAATCCACTGTGAAAGCTACTCCAGTCTAACATCATTCTGCTGAAAAATTTAAAGTATCTTCGAGTTTAAAAGATGACAAATTATCATTGACTATTTTACCAAGGTACTGGTTGTTGAGCATCAGTTAGGGATAAGAATTATGGTTTTGAATAATATGTCCACTTCTTGTTTATCTAGAATAAAAGGTTTTTTGCTTAAAAATTTGATAATTAAAATCAGCTTAATTTATCTGAAATTTCTCACTAAGTAGATTCTGTGTAGGTTTCTTTTATGAAGTGTTTTGAGAAATACCAGTGTTACGGCAGTAATGAATACTGAGTCATACGTTGTAAATATGCAACTTTGCTTTTTATAGGCATTTTTTTTTAAAGTTTATGCAGGCCTAGAAAATACTAAACAAGTTTTCTATCCTCAAGGAATTTGCAGTTAAATTAGAAATCTTACCATTACTATTTTCATCTTTTATTTTTCAAAAATAATTTTTTACATAAGATTATTTTGGAAAATATTTTCATCAAAATAACTTCTAATGTATATTGGTAGTACACTATCCTTTTTCTGTAGCTAAATTGTATAAGTGCCCTACTTATCGAGTCATCGCTGATAAATGTCCAAACATGGAACCTCAGTTGTATCTACAAAAGGAGAGTAGTAGTCCTTCCTCATATCTGCCCACTTCTTTTTTTTTTTTTTTTCTGGTTTTCGAGACAGGGTTTCTCTGTGGCGTTGGAGGCTGTCCTGGAACTAGCTTGTAGACCAGGCTGGTCTCGAACTCACAGAGATCCACTTGCTTCTGCCTCCCGAGTGCTGCTGGGATTAAAGGCATACGCCACCAACGCCCGGCCTTTTTTTTTTTTTTTTTTTTTTTAATATCTGTCCACTTCTATAAGGGGCATCACCAATCCCTTTTCTCTCATGTAGGGAAAGCTGAAGACTTAAAGCATCAGTTGGCTCCAGTCTTACCCCCTCTGAAACCTTGGCTGGGATATTGTATTGTTGCTAATTCCATTGAGCTTTTGAGGTTTCTTTCTGTTTGAAAAGTTGCTAAGCATTTATCCGTATTTAGGACTTTAATTAGAAACAGTTGTGATTTGGCCTGAATTTGGGCTTTCTTGCTATGGATTTTCATGGTAGTATGGGTGTGTGTTGGTTATGAGAAGTTGGGATATTGTGCTTTGGCTGCTTTGCTTAGCTTGACTGTTTTACCATCAAAGCCTTATTGACCACGGATAGATAACTAATAGTAAAGTTTCAGTGATAAAACATTTCTGCCAAAATGTTCTTCCAAAACTGTTCAGTATTCTCAGGTCGTAAAATAGCTGCTTAGCCTGTCCTTTCCTTTGGCCTTGCAATTTCCCTTTCAGTGGAAAGAGCTGCAGGACTAGTCCTTCATTGAGGGGCTTCATGTCAGTTCTCTGCTGTACACCACAGTACTTCAAGTGTTACTCATTGACAAAACACTATAACCACAGATGCATGTTCAGTAAATTTACATCTGATAAAACTTAAGAACTATAGAAATTTTATGTCAAATATACACCCATATTGTCTATACTATCAGTCCTGATTGCCAAATGCTGGAGACCTTATTAGAAAGTCATTGCCTTGCTTTGACAGCTTTATTTCATGATGAGACTGAATGCCACAGGCTTTATGTTTATCGGATTCTTCTGCATGTGTTGCAGTGTACTTTAAATGCTTTCCTTTGTAATGCTGGGGTGAGCCTAGGGCCTCAACACATGCTCATGGCTGCACTATACTTAGTCTTTATATAAATTTTGAGGCTAGATCCTGTTTATTTTCCCAAGCTGAATTCAAATCCTACTGCCTAGGCAGGAGTCACACTACGCCTGGTGCCGTTGTATTTTTATACAGCTGTTTACTCACTGGTCTGGAAGAACTTGCTTTGAACTTTGCTGTTGTTATGAAAAGCTAATATAATTCTGAATTTGTAGATACACTAACTGCAAAATATTTAGGACAAATATCTTTTGAGTATACGATACATGCCATAGAGTGATCTATGTATTACAGTCATTGCAGTGAGCTGACTGAGCTCTTTTTTTGATTGAGTTTATATACTAGTACGGGGAGATGGGCAAAAATCAAGTAATTAAATATAAATGGAAAGTGCTCTTAAAATATTGTAGTGTTAGAGTTTTGCACATAACAGAGACCAACAGTGCTAACAGAAGCAAAAAGATCTTAGGGTGTCAGATACTCTACAGTGGAGACAGCCAGAACATCCAAGTGACTACTGTAGACCTATAAACACAAGCCACATTTTTAAACTAAAATAGAAAACCTATAAACTAATTAGAATAATTGATCTGAAATTTTATCTTCCTCTAAACCCCAGGAATAATGATTTTTACCTTACTCTGTTTTAAGACTGCATAGTTAAAACAAAAACAGATGTTACTGTTTCCAGTAGCATTAGTGCTCTGTGATGGAATGATGTATAAAGCCCATCTGTTGCCTGAAGAAGACCATCATAAAATACCCAGGCTCTTAAGCCTGCCATAGACTTAAATGCTATTTTGTAAATTACACATCTGGGGGATGTATGCAGAAAGAATTGATCTTAAATAAGTGGTATATACTGAGCATATACTATGCTCAACATATGCACCATTGGCACTCAAGATAAATACATTAGGAAGTATTAGGAGCTCCAGAGAACATGAGTTCAAAGTCTTGCATTCTGTTGAGAGGCTCTTTTAGACGATGCAGACATATGTGGTAAGTAAGGTCAAGTGGGAATACATACAAGGTAAAGTATGTGAATCTGAGTTACTGAGTTCTCATTTGTCATACTTTTAGTTTGGAATATTATGCCTCTAAGACTGCCTTTCTTATATAAGATCAGGGCAAGTGAGGTGAAAGAGATGGGGCACTGATGATGACATTATAGGAGACAAACCTTGACTGCCACTGCCATTGCTGTGAAATCTTTGTAATCCTGATGTTTATAGACATGAAATCTGACTGTAAAAAGTGAGTGTGTCTGTAAACATGCATAACTACCCATAGACAAATATCAGTATTTCTAGGCAACCAGATCTACTTTATTTGTTTTGTTAGATGTTACTGTAACAAAATACTTGAAGTAAATTACCTTATGATGAAGAAATTTTATTTTGGTTTATGATTTTGGAGATTTCAAACTCATTGGTACCATTGCTTTTTTGAAAAATATCCATTTGGCCCTACTTGTCAAATGGTCTTCTACAGAGGCATCCCACAGTAGAGAAGTATTTACCTTGAAAACTTGTCTTATATACTCTACTTTGATTTAAAGTGTTGTTTTGGGGCTGAAGAAATGACTCAGCAGTTAAGAGTGCTTGCTGCTCTTTGGGAGACTGTAGCTCATTTTCAGCACCCACATTGGGTGGTTCACTGTAATTCCAGTTCTAGAGGAGCACATGTCCACTTTGGCATTAGTGGACACCATTACACACACACACACACACACACACACACACACACACACACAAAAACCACAATTTTAAAATATTATTTCTTTTCTTGTTCTGCCAATAGTTGAACATTTGACATTTTTTAGTTCTTTTGTTTATCAGTGAAAAATTTATGTTGATGTGAGAGATAATTATTACATGGTTATTTTTCTTTTTAAAATGTGTTTATGGTATTGATCATTTGATTCTGATAAGTTACTGGTTTAGAGTAGATTGATAATATGTACTTTTTTTCCTAGCATGGTGTTAGCTTGTATGTGCAAGATAAAGAAGGATTGTCACCTTTGGATCTTCTAATGAAGGACAGGCCAAATCACGTTGTGTTTAAGAACACTGGTAAGAATAGCTCCACATAGTTCAGCAAGTAGTATTTATTCTGATTAAAATATTGTGGATTTATTTGTTTGAATATCTACAAAGAACTTTTACTTTCACATCTGTTGATTATTTTTATTTTTTGTATTCATAACATCCTGTTTTGTCTTTTTAAAATTATATGTTTAAGAGTTAAGCACAGCCCAAAGGGTTGGCAGTTTATAATTGTTATTTTAAAGCCTTAATGTGCATCCAGAAAATAAGGTCAGCACCCTAAGTAACTGAGAAAAAAGTAACTATTTTACCCACACATTTTAAGACTTAAAAAAAATAACCAGTTTATTTCATAAGTGTCTTCATGTATGTACATATATTGTGGGTGTATGCCTGCATTTGTGTATGAATAGGGATATGCTTATGTGACAAAGTGCACATGTGGAGGTCAGAGTCTCGCCCTGGGTATTGGTTCTTGTCTTTCACCTTGTTTGAGATGCACAGCATCTGCCAAATTAGCTGTTCTCTAAGCTTCTTGGATTCACTTGGTTTTGCCCATCTACTTGTTGGAGTGCTGAGCTTACAGATGCTCACTCCATGTCTGGCTTCTACATGGGTCCTCGGGATTTGAACTTAGGTCCCCACACTTCTGTGGCAAGCACTTTTGCTCACTGAACCATCTCCCAAGGCCTACTTGCACATACTAGCATCACTTCTTCCAATTTCTTTGCCCTTTTGGTTTTGGAAATGTGAATTTACAGGAAAGAAGAAGAGAATTCAGTGGGCTGTTGCACAGTTTTTATCTAAGCTTAGTGAGAACACAGCTTTGCACTACATTGCTCCCGATGATCAAAATTTCATTGTAGAATACTTTTCAGTCTTCCAGAATAAAACTGAAGGCTTATCACAAACTTTCCTCTGATTAAATTAATTAAAGTAAAAGGCTCTTTGTCTAGTCATTGTGATTTTGTGTATCAAGAATGAACTGTGAAAGTTAATGTTAGTCTTGGGTGTGTTAACAGCTGTAATCCCAGCACTTGGGAGGTGGTGTCAGGGTGAGGAGGTCACAGCCATGTTCTGTTTCAATATGAATTCAGAGATCATCTTGTACTCTGGAAATTCAAACTCAATACCCCAATTCCCCTAAAAAAGAAAAGTTAATGTTTGTATAGTAACACATAGTAACTGATACTATGCTCACTTTTATAAACACAGGTATAGTTATAAATCTTACCCTCAGGTTTTCTTGGAAACAAGATAGACATAGCTGCTGCTGATTCACTCAGCTGGAGGTTACATGTCAGCTCTTAGTGAGGGCCAAATACTGTGATATTCACATCAGATTCAGGCTTTCACTCTGATTTGCATTTTCTGAGTTTTAGGATTTCCTAGAATTACATACTGTGCTAATAGAGTCATTTGTAGAGCACTGCAATCCTTCTAAATATGCAGCTAAATTAGTTTCTATTGAGTCATGTTTCAGGTAAACTGATGATTACTTTGTATCTATAATTAGGCTAAATTGTCATTCACTTAAACTATAACAGTATGAAATCTTAATGTTTATTTCAGATCCCACAGAAGTCTATACTTGGGGAGATAACACAAATTTTACTCTGGGTCATGGAAGCCAGAATAGCAAGCATCATCCTGAGCTGGTGGACCTGTTCTCCAGGAGTGGGGTTTATGTCAAGCAGGTATTTTGAGAGATCTTCTGTGTACTTTGAGAGACAAGACAAAGCATTACTATATTTGATAGTTTGGGTTTTTCACATTTTTGCTCGCTCTCTCTTTTTTGTTTTTTTTGTTTTTTGAGACAGGGTTTCCCTGTGGCTTTGGAGGCTGTCCTGAAACTAGCTCTTGTAGACAGGCTGTTCTCAGACTCACAGAGATTCACCTGCCTCTGCCTCCCAAGTGCTGGGATTAAAGGCGTGCACCACCACTGCCTGGCTGAGAGAGTAGAGTGCTTCCCTGACTGGGAATCGAAGCCAGGTGGACGCTGTGAGAAGCTGAATCCTAACCACTAACTAGACCACTAGGGAGCCATTTTTATTCTTTTGAAGGTCTAATAACATCTTAATGACCAAATCCATTAGGAATTTGCTACTTCTGGTTTTTGCTGCATTAGCTTCAGTCATATCAATACTAGACAGAACCCCAGATATATGTGTATGGGGTGTTAAGCCATTTGTTTCTCAAGTGCATGTGTTGCAGATGGGTGTTATTTTTGGTACATGATCCTGAATTCTTAAACGTGAGTGAGTGTGCACTTTCAGCTGGTAACATGTGAAGCTTTTCTCCATGCTGTCTATCCTGGTGAGCGATGTACTTTACTTCACCAACTGTGTCACCGTCAGTGTGCTCCTCCTGTCTAACATTACGTGTGTGTGCGCGCGCATGCGCGCCCGCCCGCATGAGAGCCCAAGCGACACATGCTTAATGTCTTCAATGTTACTCCTCTCTTAAGCTTTATTTTCATTGTATTCTGGGCAATCTTGTAAAGTATTTAAATTTAACAAGCCTGAAAGTCTTATTTTTGCCACTGACACTACTCACTTTAATGCTAAGATTTTTACATTTTATGCCTCAGATCCCATCATTTGAGTTCATCTCTGTCTTATGAGCTATGTTAATCTTTCAGTTACTATAAAGAAATGCCTGGGATTTATTGAAAGGAGGAAAGATTTATTTTGGATCAAGTTGTGGAGTCCATATTTAATTGGCCCTGTTTTGGGGGTCTGGTGAGATGGTACAGCCTGTTGGAGACTATGATGGAAGACACTGCTCTCCTAAGAGCAGCCAAAAAGCAAGTGTGTAGGACACTGGTATTCCATAGTTCTCCTTTGAGGCCATGCCCCTAATGATCTTTAACCTTTCACTAGCCCCACGTATTGGATTTCTACTACCTTTCAGTAACACCAACCTGAGGACCGAACCTTTTACATGATGGGAAGGAAGCAAAGAAAGAAATGGGAAAGAGAAAGACTTAAAAAAATATAAAATTCTTTAAGGCTATATAATGATATTAAAGCTGTATTTGATTACAAAAAACAAAAACAAACCAGAGATCAAAAAAGGACAGTGTTTCTCCAACTGTGCATTATCAAATCTCTCTAAAAATACCTTTTTGATGCTTCTACTATTTTTGTTAATAACAGATTCTGTTTGATAAATCTTATTCTCCATTTTTTACTCTTGCTGTTTGACACCTAATTAAACTGGAAAACAAAGGACAATTATTTTTTTGTCATTGAAGACTGAAAGCTTACATTCCAGTGTTAATCTCCCACTTAATTGTTTGCCCTCCCATGTGAGTGTTTATAGGTATAATTTAAAATGAATATATACGTATTCATTATATATATACATACATATACATATACATATACATACCCCTGGACCCATTATCTAACTTATACAGTTAACAATATTCCTCTTATAAAGATTTTTTTTTTAAGAGTTTTAATAACACAATTCTGTTTTTTTCCTTAGGTGGTGCTTTGCAAATTTCATTCAGTGTTTCTGTCCCAGAAAGGGCAGGTTTATACCTGTGGGCATGGTCGTGGTGGACGGTTAGGCCATGGAGATGAACAGACATGCCTGGTAATTGAGTCATTATATATTAGACATTAGTAAGGTCATGTTGAATTGGAAACATTAGTTAATTTTTTATTCTAATTGTAAATAAAAATAATTTCAAAATTAGTGATAGTTTTAAGAAGTCTGAAATTGAAGACTTAAATAAAAGTGAAAGTATCTCAGAAATATTTGGCATACAGCAAATACTAAGTCAGGAAATATGTGTTATTTATAATATATGTGTATATATAGTATATGTATGTATATGTATATGTAAATTATAGAGTTGAAATTAAAGGTCAGACTAATTGTAAAACCCTTTCTCTGAAGAAACACAAGTTTTTATTTCCTTAAAGTAGTCATGATCTGAAAATGTGAACAATATTTTCTTTATAGTATTAGAATGGTAGTTTTATGATACTGAAACTTAGTGGTAACTGGAAGAAACCTAGTTTATTCTATACCAGGAAAAGGCTGATTTTTTAAAAACAATCTATGAAAGGAAAGAAAGCTACAACATCAATAGTAACTGTTGTTACTTATAGTGAGCCTCACAGTGGTCTCGTCAGCTGCAAGCACTCTTCTACATTTTGTGCATTACAGTGACACTAAGAAAGCAGTCATGTATTGATTGCTTAGTTCTCAGACAAGGAAAATGAGGAAAAGAAAACTTGAAACTTTGATTGAGATCAGATAGCTAGTAACACATATTTCCTGAGCTTTGAGTCCAGGATGAGTAACTGCAAAGAAACAGGGTGGTGTCTGTTTGGTTATTCCTTGAAGGGAAGTTATTTTCTTTCCCTTCCTCCCTAAAATACTGAATAGTGAAGGGCTCTGTCTTAGTTAGGGTTTCTATTGCTGTGAAGAGATACCATGCAAGGCAACTCTTACAATGGAAAATATTACATTGAGGTGGCAGCTTGCAGTTTCAGAGATTTAGTTTATTATCATCATGGTGGGGAGCATGGCAGTGTGCAGGCAGACATGGTGATGGAGAAGGAGCTGCTACATGTTGATATGCAGGCAAGAGGAAGTAAACTGTCTCACTGGGTGTGGCTTGAGCATATATGAGCCCTCAATTCCGCCTTCATAATGGCATACTCCAACAAGAATACACTTACTCCAACAAGGTCATGCCTCCTAATAGTGCCACTCCCTTTGGGGACCATTTTCTTTCAAACCAC